TTCACACCCATACCTGTGCCGAAGCCCTCAGAAAACCGACATTATCCAGGTGTAGCCAATAATGATATCAAACAATGCACACAGGCGTCAAGAATGCCTACATCCGAGTCTACACCATTCGTCTCATGTTCGACTATGCCTCAGCAGTGCTTTGCTCCTAAATGTCGCATTGTACTGCAGCAGGTTGTTGATGTCCCTCACCCAATCATCCTCCTTCCCAGGACCGGCGCCTTCCCCTTCGTGTCGAGCATCTGGATTCTCGTCATCGACTATGGATGAGCGGTTGATGCAGGGCACGGGGAAGGGCGATGCTTGTACTGTTAGTGAGTCGCCGGGGTTGAGAACGTGTGAGACGCGCCCGTCCATCGACACTCCTGCAGCAGCACGGCTGCGGTCTCCAATCTAGCAGCCAGGAACGTCAGCTTTTGTTTGGGGATGAGATGTTGAAGATGTTTGACATACCCGGAGAGTTATAGAGGAAGAAGACGGAAACACAAGGGGTCGGAAGGACAAGCTCCTTGGGCATATAGGGGTAAGAACCAATGCGCTCAGCGATGGGTGCACTATAGGACCCCCGGCGGAGAGAGAATATGCTGTAGAGCCTGTGGGTGTGGATATTATCACACCGTCTGACTACAAGTAAGAGTTAGTATAACGCCCCCGGTTTGATATGCAGTGCACTCACCACAGCTTCCGTCAGGTGCTGTCCGTCAACAAATATGTCGATAGTATTTAGGTGCGGGCTGGAGCCACGATGCAAGGCAACTTCGTTCATCACCTGCCACGCCGCTGGTTATTAAATCAGCGGGAGGTCCCATTTGAAATAGGTGATAGAACTTACTCGTCTCCCCGCCAGGTGTAATGTTTCGCTCTTGATCATGGAACGAACATGATAGGCGCATACGATTCAAAATTGTGGCTTTACCCTCGAAGACGCTTTGGATAGCTTTGGCGAAATCATCGATGTCTAGGAAGAGGGAAAACGAACTGAATATCCAGATTTAGGGTGACAGCAAATACACTCACGAAAGGGTAGCAAGAAACCTAGGGTCCCCATGGAGAAGCTGAGAACTGGGGGAACAGCTCCTGTATTGAACAGGGATGATGCATGCAGTATGGTTCCATCGCCGCCCAGAGTCACAACGAGATCGATCTTCTCGGACTCGGCGCCTTGTAGTGGCTCAGCCTAGATGCACGACGGAGGTAGCACAAGGGGGACATACCTGGCGCCCAGACCTCCACACCGTCTGGAATGTCGGGTCGATCTTCATGGAATACCCGAACTGATGGATACTCTTTCGAGACAAATCTGTATCACGGGACAGCTTTCAGGAACTCAGACGGAATAGAAAATCCTGAGCAACTGACGCGAGCAGGGCTTCAATGCCTTTCACCACAGGGTCCGTCCGTAACTTGTTCACCAAAAGAATAGCTTTGGGAGGCGACTTTGCATCGGCATATATGCTATTTACCCGATAGTAAGCATCCAATGATCAGAGCGAGATCCGGGTCGAGACAGTGACAACTGACATTTTGGAATGAGGGACCGTCGTCGAGTAGCGATTTTTCAGGGTAACTCTGGCGGGGCATGTGGACCATTGTTGGGCTAGCCAATGAGTGCGGCAAATATGAGGCTGCGCTATGAGGCGTAGATGTGGGCGCAAACCATGACGGATCGTCGAGAACATGAAGAGAATCGGTATCTGTATCAGACGCGCCAGAGCTTTGAAGTTTGTCTGCTACCGACTGGCCACACCATCACGCGACGCGTGTCGACGTCGCTGATCTCTTCTACAGGCTTCTACGTATACCTGCTTATCGATATCCATGCATATGCTCCGAGTTACTGCTCCCCGACCTTACTCTAGTATTCAAGGGAGGACTCTCGAGTCTCCGTTCCGCAAGATCGAGCTTGCAAAGTTTGGAAATTTTTCTACTGTCTTTGACAGGTCAGAGTAAACCCATCCGGGCCAGCCCCGCGCTTGCGCATTTGAAACAAAGTTGCGTCCACACTGGGTATTCTCTACCAGCTGCGCAAAGCATGTTGATCGCGTTTAAACCCGGAACCCTTGAAGCGGCAAGGGAGCTCAATACATCATCCCCCTCCTTTTTCAATCTCAAAAGAGCCCTTTGGTTCTGTTTTCTTGCAGCTTGCCGGGGCATCTTGTGGTCCTCAAATTGCGTCATTAAAAGACGCATGCCCTGGGCGCCATTTTAAGGTAAGTTATCTCGGGCATAGCTTCAAAACACGCACTTTCTTATCAGACTGCGCAAGGTGGCATTCGGAAGTAACGCTCTGAAGGCCTACAATCGACGTCGTATCGCCATTGTTAGAAACCCCCTTTCACATCTATGGACACACAAAGCCGTTGATATCGAAGATATCTTCATAGCGCCGGGGCCTAACTGCGTTCTGTCTCCACAATTGAAATCTCGTGCAGCGTAGGAACCCCTACGCGGCTATTGTATGGTATCCTACTGTGCAGCAGGCTGTCCAACTGCTGGGCCCGCACATTCTACGACACCGCTAGAAGATTTCATTCTAAGGTGCCTGTCCCACAGCTTCGTGTCCATTTCTTGGTTATGACCAATTGCTAACATAACGTGGTTTAGATGGTCAACCTCAAAGGGGTCATGGGATCACTTGCACAGTTAGGTTTCTAAAGGATTGTGGATCCGAGAGCGAAGCAAACCCCGTTGCTCCTCCCGCTTCCGACGCCGGTGGTCGTGTGCCCCAGACTCTCGCGGATGTATCTAACACATAGTCATGGATAACTGACATTACCCTACCCGATGCCTCGTCAGATTTACATCTCTATGGGGCATATCAGTCACAGGCTGTGCACTCAAAAAACTTGTACCCACGATTGACCCACGAATCATGATCGATCGCGAAGTTCGCTCTTCGGTCTGTGACAAGCTCTCGCCGACTGTCGCTCAAACCTCCGTTCTCACTCCCATTTCCGATGTTATCTTATACTCAATCTGTCCACGCGCCACACATGCGGCGATGCTGATCTGCCTCTTCTACGAAACCGATTTACACAATTACCCTCTTTGATGATCGTGTGCCCAAACCGAAAAGTTGGTGCTTTAGTTTACTACACGTCATGTCTTTTACTATGTTTGACTCCCTTCCAATATTCAGAATCGACCCTGGCGTACATCAGTCAAAAGTTCGTCGTCGGCGTCAATCGCATCAATCACCTTGGGATCGCCTTGGACAATCCCGTCTTGCCGTTCATGACAACTCTAGTCTATCTCTCCTGTGACACCCGGAGAGGAGTTTCATTTCACTTCTTCATCTAGATCATTCGCCATCAATGCGTATCTGCCTGCCCTCCAACACGTTGCATACGATTTAGGAAATCCTGGAAACGCACTTGATCCTCTTATAAGCACCGTCTTCCCCCCTGATTATAGGTATTTCTCAACGCATCATCTATGGTTTTCGGATTCCTCAACACCTCTCGGCGCTCCCTTCCACAAAACTTCTCGACGTCCGAAATCTCGAGTATAATGGGTGAAAAAACTGGCTTCGTCACGCCAAACTCTTCCCGGTCGCCCTCTCCAGTGCGCCCCGCCCTAGTTATCAACACGGCTGCGAAACAAAAGTCGCCTCAGCGACCGCCATCCCCCCCTCTCACCGCATCTCCATCTGGCGACGAGACCATCCAAAACCATATGGATAACTATAAAACATCTGTACAGAACACGCTCTCAACTTTGGGCGTCACGTTCACTGTACTAGGGGAACAAGCTGCTAAGTACTCGGACTTGGGCCCTGCCATCGACGCTGCTCAAAAGGTGCGTCCCAACCCATATATCCAGTATCCTTGCTCATAGCATCACTCTCATTGATAGCTCGCCGCTTTCAGCAAAGATCTCAACGCTCAATATGATCGGCAAGACGAGGCCCTTCGGGCCATGAAAGATCGCCTAAGCGCTATGTACAAGGGAGAACTCGCTCGCAACATCAATGTTCGCATGGAACAGCGCGTGCAGGAGAAGATCGCAGAGCGCGTGCAAGAGAAGGTCAGGGAGCAGGTACGTTTCGTTGCCACTGTTTCAGCCCCTTCATCAACCTAACATTTACGTCCTTCAGCTCACGAAACAAGTTCCCGCTAGTCTCCGGCAGGAAATCACTTCGCATAAGCGACAAGTGCTACAGATCCAGACGACGTTGCATAACTCGTACGTGCCAGACTTTGTCACACATCCGCTTTATTGTTAATTGTCTTCCCGAAACCAGAGAGGCCAGGCGGCACAATGCCCTCCTGCACATACAAGACGGTTCTGAGCCCCTGCGCCCCCTACGACGCCCCTTCGAACAGCTACCGTCGCCACCTGCGAGCCTTATGCCGACGCCGTCCAACTCCCCCAAGTCGTCACCTGCATCTTCATTAGATTCTCTCGAGCCTCCAACGCCATCGCCGTACTTCCCCAAGGATGTCGCGCATCTAGTCGATCTAACCCCGACAGAGGCACGCAAACTTGTAACAGATTATGGTCTCGATCTGGAGAAACCCCATCGCGCTGGTAGTCCCGATGCCCAATACCGCGAGAAGAACTCCAACCTTAACAAGTTCCTGGCGCACATCGGTGTAAGCACAGTTTACTTCGCGATGCGTTATCCGTGGCTGATCATACACGTATTCAGGCCCCCTATCAGTTATTGCACAATCCTGCTTCGCCGGGAACCCCGCTCATCACGCGGTCAGCGTGGTAGGATGTGCCATCATTTTCTTGAGTGTTCTAGTTCTAGTAGATTCGAATAATTGTTGTCGGAGGCGATCAGTTATACCATATCTTAGTTTCGTGTACTCTTTGTATCTTCATCAGTGTAAAAGAATTTGTATCACCATTTACCTTGGAATTCTAAGCTCTGGTTAGATCATCAATCAATGAACACAACAACATTGTTACAAGAACCGAACCGAGTCCTCGTTCCACTCTGTTCCGTCACTCTCACTCTGGTGCAAAGAAAACACAAAAAGGTATGACGCGAGGGGGATTCGAACCCCCGCCCGTGAAGACTAGATAGGACAACATCCTGATTCTAGCGCCTTAGACCGCTCGGCCATCGCGCCTTGTATATGGGCGAGGAAACGGCCAATAAGTACTCTGCACGAAAAACTTCCCATTTCCGCACAAATTAATGGTCAAATTTGCGGTCAGGCCTTCCACTCATACTTGTTCGAGCTCATCTACAAGAAAGAAAAATATGGTGGCTCGTAGCCCCTTGCTATACCTTGGTATCCCTGGTCCATTTGGTGATTCTCACCAAGCACTGGGTGTTCCAAAGGCCCTGCCAGTGGTCAAAAATTGTTGGCCCACGTTCCTGGAGCCTGGTGTTGGTCTCGGGCTCTCTGACTTCTGTTCCATGCCTCATGACATCAACTTCAACGGCCAACCCCGTCGCCATTTTCTGCCATGCTGAGGACACAAATACAAATACCCTTCCCCAGCCGGTCTATAGCTATATTGAAGAAAAAAGTGCGGAGGTCTCTATATTAGACTATCTAATCATTCTGATTTGATCTACGCCACTACTCGGAATCGTATAAAGCCTCCAACCAGTGTCTTCTTTGTTCTCCCTCGACCATTATCTTTCAAAAAGAAAACAATGGACAGGATCAAAGAAGTTGTGATTGGCAAATCTCCAGAGTCCGCTCGGGAGAAAGCTTTTGTGAGGTGCATACGAGCTCTTTCGTTGCCACTAGTATATAGCCTGGAAGTATCAAGTTGATCCTCTTCATAGGAAACTCGATGGCTTCCTCCTTTCATTCATGTGCCTGATGTACTGTGAGTGTTTAATCCGACTCATAGTTTCTCTAGCATACATTTAGTCGTTTCATCAAGGGGTCAACTATCTCGGTAACTTCTGTTGCATAGGTTCTCCAGTAACGTCCAGAGGCTAATCCACAGCCATCAGACCGGGCTAACCTGAGCAATGTTCGAATTTGCTTATGTTTTGTGTATGCACATCCACTAACCGCTCGTTATCTTTTAGGCCTACGTTTCTGGTCTAAAGGAGGACTTGAAATTTCAGGGAAATCAACTTAACCTGGCGACCACCCTCTTTTCTGTCGCATACATTATTGCGCAGATCCCCAACGTGAGCACTACATTTTCTCAAATGGTAGAAAACCCGTTTTCTCCAACGCCATCTCGTTCGTAGGCTCTTATTCTCCAAGTGGTCTCGCCTCGCATCTGGATCCCATCGTGTGGCATGGTCTGGGGAGTTCTTTGTTTCCTTACACCGCTATGCAAGAACTACAAGCACATCATCGTGAGCAACGACTGAGGGACGCCGAACTTCGTGCTATAGCTCAACTTGCTCCTTTGTAGGCGATTCGCTTTATCCAGGCCTTGTTCGAGGCTAGCACTTTTGCTGGATGTCATTTCGTGTAAGACTGCTGCTCAACTCGCGACTTATTGCACTGATGTGCTCTCTTCCAAACTTCTCAGGCTTGGATCATGGTGTGGGTAATTTTTCCATCAGAAGAGGCATTGACCAACCTCCACATTTCCCTAAGACAAGGAAAATGAGCTTGGGAAGAGATCTGCTCTCTTCAGTTGCGCAGGTTAGTGTGATCCTCAGTCTCAGCCTCGATGTGTCAATCTAACTCTAAAGAAATCCCTTCTTCCGCACCTTCAGCCCAGATGGGATCTCTTTTCTGTACGTAGGCCAATCAGCATGCGAGTTCAGGCCAAATGTCTCATTGAGTGCTCGGTAACTCTCAAGCCGGTGTCCTGCAAGGCGCAATCATTTCGACCCTCGATGGTATGGCAGATCTACATGAATGTCAGTTCCAAGATGACTATATTGCTTCAATACAGGTCGTGGAGGCATCTCCGGTTGGAAGTGGTAGGCTTCAATCTCCACGTTCCACAATCGAGGGAGCATTGCTAACCTTCCACAAAAATGTACAGGCTTTTTATTATTGTCAGCCATGCCTTTCCTCTGCTTTCCCCTCACTGATGATGGTACTGCATCTTTTCGCAGGATGGGATAATCACGATCCCTATCTGTATCTATGGTATGCAAGCTGTCCTAGATCCCGTTGTTTTCTTCTTCTGAATGATACCACAGGATTCTTCGTATTTCCGTCACTTCCTCAAAAGACAGACATATGGTGGCTCAGCGAAGAGGACCGATTATTCGCAATCGTGCGCTCATTCACCCCACATATTTGTGGGAAGTCCAACAAATTGCTTTCGTTTAGGAGCGCCTTCCTCCTCGCAAGGTCACCAAGCTTGATCGCACTGTATTCGTGCGGGTATTCGGGGAGTGGAAGTTTTACGGATTCAACCTTCTTCTTGCAATTAGCTTCATGCTTGAGAGCTATGGAATCAAGTATGACATTTTATTTTTGTGAAAATTTAAGCCCATATGATCGAACGGAGACATTTTTATTTTACAGTGGATGCATGGGGCTCTGGATGAAGGCGAAAAACACAGCAGTGTACGCAGGAAAAAAGTGTCAGTCGTGTTTGTTTTCCTCCTCCGTTCCCCTACGTAGAGCTCTGCCTTATCCAAATTTTCAGGGAGCACTTCGGACTACAGTTATTACCCTTCCGGAACCCCTGCTGTGGCCATCTTCTGTCAGCTGTGTGCTGGATTTCTTACCGACGCGTTTGGGGGCAGGTGGACAGTCAATATCTTCCAAGCGAGTTTCGACCGTCCCCTGTCTAGTGAATCATTTCTGACTATCTCTCCAGTGCGTCTGCATGTTCATCGCCTCGGGAATCATACTCGCCTACCCTTCTTCGGATAGCGTGATGTTCTTTGCCTACTACCTTAGCGGAGCTGGATATGTGAGTCATCCACTCGGTGTGTAAACCAGTTGCTGACCGCGCGGTGCTGCGGGGAATTCTAGACGGCTCAAGGTACAAATTATGTCAGTATCCATTGCTGGGTAGTCCATCGTCAGAACTAAGTGCCTTCTCGTTTTCCTAGGCCTGGGCTAATGTCGCCTGCCGAAACGACGATCAGCTTCGGTAATATCTTCTGCCTGGGCATGACTCTAATGATGCGACTTTTGGTGATTAATTATCTTTACATCTTATAGGGCTGTGCTTTTGTTCTCGATGAACATGATGGGAAGCGTGATGAATAGTGTGAGCTTATTTGATTGGCCAATTGGACTCGACGTTTTGACGAATCTTTGATCTACCCACATAGTTCTGGTCCATCGCATTTTATGGGGCAGACACCGCGCCGAGGTTCAGAAAAGGATCAATCACAATGCTCTGCGACGCGGCATTTACCTGTGAGTTACGAATAAGCGATCGACCTGTAATGGCTCTGGAAAAGTGGCACTCCGCTCCGCTTCCAAAACGCCGAACTTATGGCTCTCTCTACTTTGTTTCCTGGCTAATCGATTATTTGTGGCAGTGGTCATCGCAGTTGGATTATGGCTCGCCCTCAAAATCGACACGACTAGGCGGCTTAAGCGCGCAGAAGGCAGCGTTCCCGTCGAAGGTGAGGTTGAAGAGGAAGAGGGCGAAGTCATCGACGGGAAGAGCAGCGTAGCAAACATCTAGGTACACGGTACGTTGAGAAAAGAAAATTTTGTGAGGGCGATGTAGGATTCGAAGCGTACCTAGGGGAGTTGATAAGTGTCTAAGCCTGTTGATTGGTGTCAATGAATCTGTATCAGCTGAAAATAAATTTGACACCAATCCTTTGAAATCCTAGATGAAGCCCTAACTCGCAGTGGAGGTGAAATATCCTGTGGACATGATTCCAAGTCGATATCGCGATGGTAAACATTGATTGCAAGTGATGAATGCGACAAGTGGAGAAACGCAAATAACTCCTGGTTTTCGAATAAAAGGCGAATGTTGTGTATATCTATCTGGCCGGCAGTGTAGAACCCGAGCGATTTGCGAGTCAGACCTGCAGTTAAATTTGTTTGGCTATAGTCGGTTGTCACCCATCGAATGTTGGCTGCCTAGTAGGCACTCGAAAGACTTTGGGAGCTTGCCAACGAACTTGCTAGTATCTGACAGCTTGTTTGCCTACCCTGGAGGACGGGAAAGCTCGATTTTATCATAGGTTCATCTATCCTCGCGTCATGCTAGAAAGCCGTTCAAATCACAAATTCTCGAAGAGTGCAGCTGTATTAAATCGAATTAATATTGAAACAAAACACAAGGAGCGACAGGAAGGGTTTTTACAAGGACAAACTGCATGTCACTGGACGTAGAAGTGTATTGGCGGCTATGAGTCGTTTTCACTGTCGTCTTGCCAGACTTTCCACATGCGAGAACATACATTTCTGGCCAGCAGCCACGGCTCCCCAGTCCATGCTTTCTCCCATATTCGGCCGGCAAGCTCCTTCTGAGCACCGGAACCGAGACTTTCGCGGACGATGTTCGTCACTTTGAACGTAGGTGCAAGGAGTTGCTCTAAATGATTGAAGATATGCAAAGTTGGAGGGAGGTGAACGAGGAGAGACTGTCTTCTGGAAGAGTGATGAGCCACATTATCTTGAGAGGATATAAAGGTCAACTTACGAAGGGTCGAGTATCCAAGGTGGGGTGAGCATCATAGTCGGCATAGGCTCATTGGGATCGGCCTTTAGCTTCATCTCGTACTCCTCTCTCACAGCTGCCATGTGCTTCGCCCAGTCTGCTTGGACAGATAATGGATGGACCATCATATCGATCTTCTCTTGAACAGCCCACCGATTGGTTGAGTACCATAGGTACCACCCCTCCTGCCAATATTGGGCATCTTTCTGGCGCAGCTTTCTCTCGTAAGAGTCATCTCTTGACCTCCCATCCTGTGCCTCGTCACTCCGTTGGCCCTCCGGAGGGAGCGCATACTTGGCATGGTCCTGACTCCGTTCAGAGAGGTTCTTCTCGTGCGTACGAATCCGCTGAACCTCGTGAGCGAAGACCCGTCTGATACATAGTGATCGGCACCAGGGGTCCTGCTTGTCTGTCCTTCCACCTGAGCTTTGCGAGCAGTATGTGAAGCATCGCTCGTCAGTGCGAGGGGAGTACTGGCCTATAGTCACAATGTGAGATCAAGATACTTGAGGGTCACGGTTGAACTCACCTTGAGGAGGCCTAACCA